CAGGAATGGTCTTTTTGGCAGTCCAGGAGATAGCTGAAGGTGGGACACCAGATCAGGGGTAATGCATTCTGATTGCTTTAGGAGATGTGAGAAAGTACACAGTTCTAAATATGGAGTGGCATGCACTCAACACCAGATCCACAGTGACACCCTAAAAGGGAGTTGCTGCCAACATAGGAGGGACAGGGGCAAGGCCCTCAGAGATCATCTCTGCCACTTAAGATATATGTAGGCTGGCTGCCCAGGGTTGGCGCCCTTGATAGTTCAAATAGCTACAGGTAGAGCACCTGGTCAGGAACAGTGTTAATTCACCAGCACTTAAGACATTAATTGTGAGGACTTTCAAATGTGGGGCTGCTCTGTACCTAGAGCTAGATCCACAAGTTCGTGTCTGACTTCAGGCAAAGAAGGGGTTGTGTAAGGGGAACTGAAGGTATGGGAACTAATGTGAAGATTGGATTTTTCTGGTCACCAACCAGATACTATTTGAGTACTGATGCAGTCCTAGATTCCTGCCCTGATCAGAAAGCTGTCTGGAAAAGTTTAGAACAGTCATGCCATGTCAGGTCCATTCACAATTTACCAATTAATATTTTCAGTTTCTTCTTTCAACCAATTTTTGAATACTTAGAACTTCTTTTGATACTCAAGGTTCCAAGATAATGTTACATCTCAGTTTTTCATCTTTATTGTAAAGGGTCTGGGAGCCATTTCCCTAGTTTACCATCTCACTGAAAACCCTCTCAACTACCCTTTCACTAACTAGTACTTGAGAATCTTTTTTCTGTCTGATGTTTTATCAAGGCTGCCTTTACAAACTCAAGTTTTACCTTCTTGGATCTTTCTCTGAGAATGACAAGAACTGCAGGAGTCATGGTGCCATAACAGACCTACTATTAAACCCAGCCATCTAACCTCAGACAGGCCTCAGTGTCACTTAAATCTTTTAATAATTTTTTGTTGATGCTGTTAACACTGCAGAAGGCAATGTTCTAAATCTTCATGGCTCTTAGACCTCCATCTTATTTCTTCATAGTTGATAATGCTGTCATCTATTTTACTATCCAAGTTGAAAATATTTTGTCTCTTCACTTCAGTGTGCCTACAAGTGTTCTCCCTTTCCAAGGCTGATCCTTTTATCTATAGTCTATGCTGTCCCGTTTTTACTAAATTCTTTCTACCCTTTTTTGCATTTATAGTTTTACACTTTTCCATTTTGTTAAAAGTAAAGCCTTCCCTCAATGTTCTCTTTCAGATGTTCATTCCATCTCTTACCTTTTTAGTGTGATGTTTCAAGACATTAAGCTTCCTTGACTAACCACTTTTTCAGGAACTGGTAAAATTTTCCTTATTTGTAATATTTGTAGCTTGAAATGGAACTAGTGATGATTGTTGATACATTCCATGTTCACTATTCTATGATTTTGTACTCACTGACTCCCTCTTCTCACCTCCCACTCATTCCTCAACTTATGTCGTGCTATCTACCCTTATAATAAATGCAAATGGTTTTCTCAAAATTTGTAAACGTCTAGTTCTTGAATCAAAAAGTTTCTCAACTCTCACTTAGCAGACCAACTTGAATCACTAGATGTGACTGCTCAGCTTTGGCTTGGCACACCCCTTCCTTTGCCCTACTTCTCTCCTTCCTGAGTCCTCTACCTTTGACCATACTCAGCTCTTGAAGTCACTCCTTTAGACGATCCCATTTATTTAGAAGCTCAATTTCCACTCTGAAGGGTCTGATGTCCAAATCTATTTCTTCAGCTCGAGCTTCTGTTGTGTTTGACCTATTTGCTGGAAATCTCTGCTCAAGTGGCAAGCTAGCACTTTGTAGGCCTCTTCTGATTACTTAACACCTTATCATATTACTCTAAGCAAGTGCACCTCTCAGTCGTATGTGTAGCTGTTACATATTCTTTAAGAAGAAAGCTTTCTGGGGCAGTGACTCATTTATACCTTTTCCTTAGCTGGGATCCCTGCTTCTAACAGGTGCTTAATAAAACTTAACTGATTAAACATTCAAAATCAAACTCCTTAGTTTCACCTTCAGCCCTGCTTCTCCTCTTTTAGCTTGTCACCATCTTTCCAATCTCCTAGGTGCAAAACGTGGGGGTTTTCTGATTCTTTTTCTGTTGTAACCATCCCATCAGTGATGATCTGATGATTTATTTTTTCAAAGTTTATAAAATGTGCTCCCTCCTTTAATGTCATCCATTGGACTGACGTCAAGTTCGAGTTTTGGATTCAGATGAGTTTAATGCCAATTCCACTACACTTGTGTTGTGTAACCTTAAGTATGTTACAGTATTTTTATGGGTCTTGGTTTCCTCATCTGTATACTGGAGATTCACCTTTTGGCCAGCTATGGAGAAGATTAGATGTTAGAGTGTTTGACAAGGTTAAGCACACAGGCTTCTTCTTTTTTAAATGAGTTTTCTCTGTATAACAGAAGTTTGAAGTTCTGTTCTCTTTTACAGAAGAAGTTCTCTTTTAAGTCACTGGAGTCACTGCCCCCAAGTTCAAATCCTTTAGTTTGCCAATGAATGGTCCTTTTCTTGACCTCATGTTCCCTCCCTCTCACCTGTGTTTCATCTACCCCAGCATATTTACCTTTTCCTTTTATCTCTGTTCTTTACAACATCTTAGCCTATGCTCAAACCATTCATTTATCTGTGGAGGCTCTCCACCTGCCATGTGCCACTGAAATCAATCTCCACCCATCAGAGCCTGTTCAAAAGCTAGTTCCTCTCTTGGAAGCCCCTCCCTAACCCCAAGATACCTTCATATAGAATTCTTTTCTCTACCCACTGTACCTCATTTTAACAGTATTCAGTATGTCTGGATACATCTCTGTTAAGCATTGGTCTGTTCCTCTTATTAGACTGAAAACTTGAAGCTGGGTTTTAATTTAACTTTGGGCTACCTGATGCTGAGTTGACTTGCACTGAATATGGAGTCCTTCCCAGGTCCTTCTAATTTAACCCAAACCTACCCCAACCCCAAAGCCAGGTTTCAAGCCTCAAATGGATCCTTCTTCAATCCTTTGACTACTTTTTCTCTAATGAACCTCAGTGTGTCCTCTATGGAGACTCGATTCTTGGTTCCAGCTGTAGAGCAAAGACATGCACATGTCCACCACCCCCATTTCATGGTAGACACTGAGTCATCCCTTGGGGATCCCTAGACCTCCTTCCTTACCCCAGTGGGGTGGACAGGATGCCTGCTGCCTGGCCCCAGGAGGTCAGAGGAAGCCAAGGGCCTCTGGGGCTCAGTATTTTTATCAGCCTAGGAAATAAGAGACACAGAAACGGAAACTGTGTGGTCAGAGAAAGTGAACAACCTACATCTCAGGGGAACCCCCACCGGGCCTGGGGGCTAGACAACAGAGAGACGTTGAAAAGAGGGAGGTCTAGGGGGGCTTGGATAGCAAGGCATGTTTTGCTTTAATTTCACTTAACTCTTGAAAAGGAGAAAATTCTGTGCTTAAAACTAGATAAAAATATCCTGGTTGGAGTAGCAAATATAGAGCCATGGCTTTCTGTTGCTTATCTCTCAACTCCTTGCCTTAGGGATCCTAACCTCAGCTGCCCCCAACTCCAAAACTGGGTTCTTTGCATGCCACATCCGAAATCTTTGGCCTGTGAGAGGAACCGGACGCCTGGGTTGCTCACAGGTCGGAGTCTCTTCTCTGAATCACAGCAGCTTCCTCTCACAGGATCTTTCTCACCAGTTCTTCCCCTCTTGCCCCTGAACATCTGTCTGGTCTCTTGACGGCCTTGGGCCCCTTTTCAACTAAAGGCTTGTCTTCTTGCATGCCCATATTTCTAGAGGCTTCCCATCATTGTCCTCTGCCACCCCTCAACTTCCACTCCTGGGAGTTTCCTATGTAGACTTGGGTTCAAAACCTAAAAAATAAGTTTGTCATTTGAGATTTTTCTGGTGAACACAGTGAGTGTGCCCACATCAGTGTATACATAACATACTCTATCTCCTACTGTCTTTCTCTTTTGGCCATGTTCCCACTTCTGTTCTGGGAGATGGCACCAGGATTTGGTACTGTCTATATGATTTTCTTGCCCACTTTTCAGGGAGCTATGTGGAAGGGAGGTCTAAATAGTGGGAGGGATCAAGACCCTTTCTTGTGGGAATCTTAGACTCTCCCCCTCTACCCTTCAGGACTTTAACCACTAGTTCTTGGAAAAGAACCAAAAGGCAAGCCTGGGCTTTCCAAAGATAAAGCCCAGGTTTGAGATGGGGGCAGAAGCTGAATAGAGGAGAAACTGGTTACTGGGACACAAGATGTGGGGCCCTGATGGGAGAGGGTCCAGAAGAGAGACAGAAATGAAAAGTTTGAGGAGAAGAGAGCTGAGATTTCAGCAGCTTTGCTGGACTCGGGTGTGGATCTATGGTTGCCCAAGAACAAATAACCCCAGTTACATAATTTGGCTCTTTCCTCTCCTTCCCCTGTTCCTATTTTTAGCAACCGAAATTCCACCTCCCCAGCAGGGCTCTTCCTTCAACCATTCTGCTTCTGTCCCCCATCCTCCCACAGGCTCATGGTCCCTCAGCCCCAGCAGCTCCCCCAACTCAGATCATTCTGTGACTCAGCAAAGGGAAAGCCCTGTGTTGGAGGAAGGGGTTGTTAAGTGGGGAGGAGGATGTGGTTCTGGTTGAGGGGTTGGTGAGGAGAAGGAAACTAGTGTTGTTCCCTTTTTTTGTTTCTGTTCACATCTACATCTCCAGTTTAGACTTCAGAGTGATGAGGACCCCAGTGTTAGGGGGTGGAAAGGACCTGGAGGGCAAATTGGACCATTTTAGGAATGACTCTGAGAATGGGAAAGCAGGAAATTTCTTATCTTTCAACGAAGGGCATGAAGTAGTATGTGCATGCAAGTTGCAGGTGTGTAGGAGCTGTGGGTGTCATCAGGGAGTGAAAAAGGAGATGTAATGGGTGATGAAAACCACAGCAATGGAAAAAGGCAGAGGAGACACGGGAGTGAGATGTGGAAGTAGGTCTTATTAGGAAATGATAGAGCCAAGGAGCAATGATGGTGGCCCGCATCCCCTCCACCTGTGCTCCCTTCACTCCCTCCTCATATTCTGCTGTGTAGTATCTGCCTCATTGTTGCCAAGCCTATCCCAGACCTTATCTTCTCCCCCACCTCTAAGGCTTCCACCTTCAGTTTCTTGGGCTGTCCAAGGTGTCACTTTAGGGCCTCGGCATGACGATTCAGGGCCTGAGAAAGGGCTGTTACGGCTCCCATCACACGGCCCAGCTCCCAGGTCTCAATCTGACTCCGGAATCGCTGCAGGAAGCGGTCAGGGTGCCAACGGACCTGCTGGACCCTCAAGTACCTCCTCAGAGCTCCCTGTTCCTCCAAGGGGGGTCCCCTAGCCACTAAGGCTGCAGCCATAGCCTCTGGGTCTCCTCCCCCAGGGCAAGGCCAGGGCACATCACTGAAACGCCAGAGGCTGCCCCTCCCTGACCCTCTTGTGTGCTCTGCTCTGGGCCCTGCCCTGGCTGCTTCTAGCCCTTGGTCCCCATGAGCCTCCTGGGCCTTTCTGGCTCGGCTCTCACGCAGTTCCTTCTCCTTGGCCTGGGCACGCTCTCGGAAGAGCCGCTGCTCCTCTTCCTGCTGTCGCCAACTGTGGCTGGAGCCCTCAGCTCGCTGGGGTCTGAAGACTCCCTCTGCTTCCCGCTGCTGCTGGCGGCATTTCTGGGCATGTTCCCGGGCCAGGCGGTCAGACCAGGCTGAGAAGGATTCAGGTTCTTGAGTCTCTTGGGATTCATCATCTGTTTAGGAGAGCAGGATGGGGTAACCGAGAGAGGTTATGAGAAAGCAGTAGGTCAAAGGAGACAGGGAAGCACAGAAAGCCCAATGTGGAAAATTTTAGGCAGTCTGCATAAGAAAAACAGCCAACGGGGAAGAACAGCCAGAGATGGGAATGATTCCTTACCTTCAAACCTCCCAATGACCTCCTGCCACTCATCCTCCAGCTCTCCCTGCAGTTTCTGTCTCCATTCCCGCTCCTTGGAAGCCTCATCTTCATCTTCTTCTTCAGCAGAGTCCCAGGGGGGTCCCCAGCCGAGAATCTGCCCAGGGGTCTCTCCATCCTTATTCTTTATTCCCATTGCAGAGGGACAGCGACTTAGCAGTGGTAAAAAGAAGTCTGTGTAGGCTATTGGCAGGAGAGCAGAAGGCAGAAGTTAGCTTGGGCTCCCATACCCGATAGGGGCAACATCTTGGATTCCAAGGAGTTCTGCACCTACACCCTTTGTATCAAACCAACAGACGTCTCAGGGCATAAAGAAATCACCACTGCCAATGAATAATTACCAAGAGTTTACCACATACAGGCAAGTATGGTGGTTTAAAATATTCTGACCTAAAAAAAAAAAAAAAATAATATTCTGACCTATGCTCCACAAACCATTTTATGATCTTGGCAGTTCTACTATGACAAAAATAATTTTTAGCTTGCCTCCAGCTATGATAATATAAAAACTCTTTGACTAAGGATTTTCCTTTTTTTCTATAAAATACTGCCACTATAGACTTTATTATGTATTCCTGACCCAAAACTGTACTTTGGCACAATATTTGAAGCATGTTCTACACCACTATAGATATGCAAATTTAATATCACCTATTTATATAATTTTTCAATAAACTAACAAAAATGTTTTCAGGAAATTTTTCTCAGCCTTTCTTAGGCAGAGGATAGGAATGGGATGAGAGAGCAAGGGGGGTCCAAGCCACAGAAATATTCCCAACAGCAGGGCAAGTTCTTTCCAATGACTGCAGACCTAAAGTAGGGGAAAGAAACTGGAAGGGAGAGTATCTCTCAGGGGCTGGCTGAGAGAGCTTAGGAGAAGACAGGAAAAGAATGTATCCTTCTAGGTTCCTGTCCTCCTGAACCTTGTTCTCAATGCACACACCTCAGTTTTAGCTGAGGGCCATGCTGCTTGCTTCACTGCCAACTCAGTATTTTCCCTTGGCCAACCATGATGGTTACCAAGCACTTTTTCACTCTGGGGGCAGAGGAAGGTGAGTGAAGAAACTCTCTCCCTGAAGACCCATTTTTTTCTACCTAAGGCTGAAAGAAATGGGCCACAATTGTTAAATTTTCATTCTGTGGTGTTGAGGAGTACTTGCAAAAGAATAGGACAGGATAAAGAAGTGTCCTGCCAGGACGGCAGTAAGAAAGAATGAACCCAAGCTGTGGCCTACAAGACCCAAGACCCTCACTTGTCCCCTGGTGCACATGAGTGCTGCCCAATCCAAACCCCATGATGGTGAAGGGAGGTGGTATTTCTTTTTGGTACTGGCACAACCCATAGCTAATCCTTCCAACCAGTCCTATGAAAAAATACATGGCTCTGTCTTTTAATTCCTTCTTCCCCAATAGGACCCCAACAGGGCCCATTGTATTGTGAGGGGAGGTGGATGGGTGCTTAGGCTTGATTGGAAGGTTTCAAAACTTTAAAGAGTATGTTTCCAACACTAAAAACATGGTAGTTAAATTATGGTACAGAAAATTAACAGTAGGTAAGTAAAAAAAACTAGCTCCCAAACTACACAGCTATGTTTTTTAAAAAAACACAAAAATACCCCAAACAACCTGAAACCAAAAGCCAAATTCTATGATGGAAAAAAAATTGACTAGAAGGAAACATGTAACAATTCTTGTTTGTATCTGAGAAGGACTAGTTAGCCCTCCCCCTCCAATTTTATTCAACTGATATTTTAATATGAAAGTCATTGAATGAATCTGAATATTTTTTTAACAAAAAAAATATAATCTCTCAACAGTTTGCAGTGATCTTCTCTAATCCTGTTTTTGAGTCTATAAATACATATATATGACAGGTTATGTTTCCAGCAATATATTCTACGTGCTGTTTGGCAATCTTTTTTCACTTAGCAACTCACATGTATTTTCCACAAAAGTGTATGTAGGTCAACTTCATTCTTTGTTAATGACTTTGTAGTGTTCCACAAGTATATGAAACAAACACCTCCCCACCACTTTAACCAACAGATTTTAATTGCTTCCGAAAACGTTCATACATATGTCTTTGTGAAATTTGTGTGGGGCAGATTTTTAGAAGTGGAATTTCTGAGTCAAAGAACATAAGCAATGTTGTCATGTTGCTCTCAAAATGTGCCAGTGCGTAAACTCACCAATAATACATGAGCCTGTGTTCACTTACCAAAACTGAGTATCATCAATCTTTTAAATTATTCCAATATGATAGATTTAAAAAACCAGCAGTATTAACTGTTATTGTTTGTTAAATGTAAAGTAAATATTTCCTCATTTTTTAATAAATTTTATGCAGTTACATTTGTATCAACCTTTTCTTTTATGGCTTTTGATCTCACTTGCTTTTAACAATCAATGACACAAATAAAAATTTGTATGAATTACTGAGTGGAGAATCAATTTGTTCTGTATACTCACCCAAATCATAATAAAAAGTTAAAGTAAAAATTTTTCTAAGTACACAATAAATATCCCTATTTATACCACAGTGTATGTTACTATAGTATTTTATTTTTTCCTTTTTTAAAAAAAATTGTGATTTGAGTGAACAATTACAAAGCAAATTAAGTATTTCATTCACCCATTCATCCACATTTTGTTTTTTAGTGGTAAACACTCAAATTTAATGCATTTCTCCTACTTCTTCCCTATAATTCTAATTTCTAATACTCTTTCTATCCTACACCTTATCGCTTGGGCAAATGTTGCTTTTTTGACTTTACAAGGTTGGTTATTTTAAGGAGTGAGTATAATGCATTTAATTTATCTTAAGGAAATGAAAACCATTATAGACAAAGCTCTCTTCGACCACTCCTTCCAAGTTACTCCCCTTAAAGCTCTAGGGGCAACCCGTTCCATAATTTGGTGTGTGCTCTTCCTGTCACATTAGGTGTTCAATCTGGATAAAATCTACTTCAGTCAAGTGTTTTCACCCAAATGAACCACATATTACAGCAAGGGTTATAGACTAGTCCATTCTCCTCACTCCAGTGATTTGAATGCCACTTTTATCCTCAAACTAGCAATTTAGATAAACTTTTCCCAATGCTTTTTAATGAAAATGTACTTTCATACTGGTGTGGTAAACCTGTATTTTGTTTTGTCATGGAAATACTGCTCTTCCCCTGACCATAGTAAGACATCATTTCTACTTTGTATGTACATACTAACGGGTACAAAAAAGTTCAAAAAGGCCAATATTGGTTTATATTGAGTTGATGACTGACTAAAGCTTAGAGGAGGGAAAGGTAACAGTGACTTAAAAGCCTGAGGAAGAGGAACCTCCTTCTGCTGGGCCAAGAAAGGGGGGAATAACTCTTAACAAAGCAGAAATCAAGTGACAGGGAAGGCAAAAGATAGGCAGGCTGTGCATGTGGGTACAAAGTGAGAGGTAAGGTGGAAAGGCAGATGGGACATAAAACGAAGGCTTAGTTTATTAACTGCCTCAGTTTTTCACATTTGTTGTCCTGTGAGGTCTGAAAAATGGGGCTACTGCATACTTTTACTGTACAGATTAAGTGGACAATGGATGTTAAAAGTTTAGTACTGTGCTTACATACAGCAGAAGTTCAGTCAATGTCACAATTAAAAAATACCAGGCTGGATTTGGACTTAATGCAAAGACCCTTTTCTCACTGTGTTCCATAATCCAGCCCAGTTCCAAGGGACAAAGATGGGCAATCCCCAGATTTACTGCCTCTGAAGATCCACTGGAGGGTCAGCCACAGGTCGGTTCTGACTCTATGGTACACAACAACAACAAAAAGTCAGAGCTAACAGGGGAACTGAGGGATTCTGGATCACTCTATCTGTACAATGAAAAGATCTGCATTTTATTAAGCAGGGTGGCCTCTAAAACAGCTTTATGTTGTATAACTTAAACCCTTTGGTACAGGAGTTAGAAGGCCACCTGGTGGTGAGGCTGACGGAGAAAAGGCCAGAAAGAATAGCTGACTTAGGAGATAATGATGTGGGCCCTCATATCAGCTGTGTGATTTTGGTCATGTTCTTGAACCTTAGGCTCCACTTTCCACTCTTGTGAGATAATATCAATCTCTCATCATTTACTACAATGAAGGAAATACGTATTCACTATCAGGGACAATTTTATTACTCAAAAAGCCATTACTGAGTAATATAACAATACCTGTTATTTAAAAGTTCAAATGCAAAAAAGGAGAGTGAGTGTAAAATCTGTGCCAAGTATGCATACCTCTTTTATTTATCATACCCCTCACCTTACAGAGAGGAAAATGAGGTTAAACTGAGTGACTAAGTGTCAGGGCTCAGATTCAGAGGCAAGCTGGCCTCACATTATTCTACTCCCTTCCCACATACTGCCAATTATAAAATCTGCAGGTTAGACACCTGCACTTTGTAAACCTCCTCCTTTTGTTATTAAATGAAAAAAAAAAACCAAACAAAAAACAAAAAAAAAACAAACCAACACACCAAAACCCAAAAAACCCCTGGATATGACAGCTTATCTTTTATATTAAAGAGAATTAAAGAAAGGGGGATTTTTATTTCCCTAGGGGAACTCCCCAAAAGGGAGTTTTTCTGAAGGGAGGTGGGGTTCTTATATAAACTTGGAGAGTTGGGGGATGGTAAGAGCAGAAAATCAAATTGAGGTAGAGCTGCTTTTAAGGGCCAATTAGCTAATGTGTACCACTGAGCCTGGTATACACTGGCTTAACTGTGCTTATTAAACTATACTGAACAATTTTGCCTGGATGTGGTAAAACTGGTGTCAGCTCATTCCTACCTAGAGCTTTTCTTCCAGGAAACAGATCCTCATTGGAAATCCTCAGTGTAAGTTTTTTGAGATCTAACTTGTTTTGGGGATTTGATAGACCTAACATAAAAATATCACAGCTTCAGTTTGCTTGGCTCCACAGTCAACACTCTTGGCACCAGCAGTCAGGAAATCAAAAAGCGTATCACGATGGGAAAGTCTGCTATTAGGGACCTTTCTAAAGTACTCAGGAGCAACGGTGTCTCTCTGGAGACTAAGGTGCGCCTGATACAGGCCATGGTCGTTGCAATCGCTTGTTATGCATCACAGAGTTGGACAATGACTAGGGAGGACAGAAGGAGAGTTGATGCCTTTGAGCTGTGGTGCTAGAGAAGAGTACTGAATGTACCATGGACTGCCAGGAAAACAAACAGATTCATCTTGGAGAGGATTAAACCAAGCTACTCCTTGGAGGCAAGGATTCTGGGGTTTCGTCTGACATACTTTGGACATGTTGCCAGGAGGGACGGGTCCTTGGAGAGGGACATCATGCTTGGGAAGGTGGAGGGACAGCGCAGGAGGGGAAGACCGTCTATGAGATGGATTGATTCGGTGACTGGGGTAATCAGGATGGGTGTGTCAGAGGCAGTACGGTTGGCGCAGGATAGAGCAGGGTTTAGGGCTGTTGTGCATAGGGTCGCAAAAGACTCGATGACACATAACAACAACAACAACAACATAAAAATATATACATTGCATTTTAGGCAGCATTTAAAGAGAGTCTGGCCAGGCCCACAAACCAAACACAGGAATACTTCTGTGGTGAGACATATTACTGACATCAAGTAGGATAAAAACTAATCATAGATAGTCTCACTTCAGTTCAGCGACCAAAATGAGTTTGTCACCAAATGAGTTTGGGAAGTAGATGATGAAAAATATTTTGCTTTCAGACTCTTCATTTCCAAATTGCAGGTAAGGAAGTACAGACAGAAATAGTAGGAACAACTGCTGGCATCCACCAGTGCTTATCACATGCCAGGCATTCTTAATATGCTCCCTGTCAGTCAATTATAAAACACGTATGCCAAGTACGAGTGCCTGGAACCAGGGCACTATCGTATGATTCCATAATGTAGCTGTGAAAAACAAAGATACTCTAAGCTAGGCTGCTTGAGTTTCAATCCCTGTGCCACCACCTAATAGCTGTGCGAATGTAATAAATTATTTAACTTCCCTTTGCCCAATTTCCTCATTTGGTAAATGGCAGATCATAGCAAGTAGTTACTTCACAAGTTTGTTGTGCAAATTAAACAAATTACATTGTGAAAAGTGTCTGATATATATAGCAAGGGTTATTATCTTGTTTAATTTTACACATGGGCAAACTATGGCTCAGAGACGTTCAGTAAATTGCCTAAGAATACATAGTACAGTAAGTACAGAGTTAGGATTTGAACGTGCATCTACGTGCTGAAGTATGCCAATGTACTTTTTGTACTATAAACCAGTATGCTAGTTTTTGTGCTACAAGCAAACACCTAATCAAGAAACAAAGGAGCTATTAATCTAGAAACAAAACTTGAAGACTTTGGGAATATTGGGCTCTTCAAACAATAGTAATTCAGTAATTCAAAGGCGTTAACAGTTGTGTGCCAACTTGGTCACGGACTTCTCTAGGGCCAATGCCAAGCTTACTTTTCAACCTCTGGCTTTCATTCCAGAGCTGCTCAGGTGCTCATGATCCTGTCCCCAATGGGCAGACTCACCCTCCGGGCCCTGGCGGGCAGCAGCGTGCAGAGCTGTGTCCCCATGCCGGTCCTGGTGGGCAGGGTCTGCCCCCAGGCGAAGTAGCAGGCAGAGGGCAGGGGCATCGTGGCGGGCACAGGCCCGGTGCAGTGGCGGGGGCTGCCCAGCGTCTACGTCAAGGCCCGGGTGTCGCTGGAGGAGGGCCTGGGCCCGGACCAGCCGTCCTGCAGACAAGTAACGACGGAAGCGACGCTCTCGGCGTTGGCGGCGGGAAGTGGAGGTCATGGAACTCTTGGGCTGAAGAAGGAAAAAAGGCAGCAATCAGGACCCTAACCTGAACTCGTCACCCCCCTTCCTTGACTCCTCTTATCCTTCCCTTCATTCTCTGTTCTTTTCTGAAATCTCCAGGGTGACACGAGGCCTATCCTAATGCACTTCTCATCTTGATAGGGTTGGGTTGGGGTTCCACAGACTGCATTTTTTTTTCCATGTGAAATTTGAGAAAAAGATAAATAACTGATTGAAGGCTCACGAGCCCAGGTAAAGTTTACTTGTTAAAAGGTATTTTTCTTTTTTTGGGGGGGTGGAAGACAACTAGAGACTGATGGGCAAAGTTCGTATCAGGAATTTGAATTTTAAAAAGTCACAAGAGATTGTGAGATAGTCATCTAGAAATTGCATAAAAGTACCCGGCAGACAGAGGTAGAGGCTTCTCCCTCTGGGACTTGGGGGGAGGGGTTACTCATTAGACTTGCCCCTCCCGCCCCCCCAAGTACCCCCAGAGCCGTAGGCCCGAAGCCTGTATTTAAGACGCTCCGAAGAAGGGAGATGGGGAAGGGAGGAGACATTCCAGGCTGGCGGAAATGACGCAGCAGAGACGTAGGGGAAGGGCGGAAATGGACTGTAAGGCGTGTTACCGGAAGTCGTTCCGTTCCGAATGGGGAGCCGGAGGGTGTTGTTTCTTTGGTCAAGCTTCCGGGAGGGAAACTAGGGGACTTAGAAAAAGGGCCCGTCTGAAGCCCGAAGACTGGACAGGGGCGAGGAAAAGGTTGATGAAAGAAAAGAGGGAGATACATATATTTTTTAAATGAGGGCAATTTTAATGTTTAAACCTTCTTACTTCGACTGGGAGTCGGCGGGAAGGATGTTTCTGTCTTAGACGAAGAGATGATGAAAGAAAATAGAAGATAAGGGCAGTATAAAAAACCACAGTGAAAATGCGAAACAGAAACTTACGTACCAAACAATAATTTAAATAATATGTTAATTAAATAAATGTTAATATATCAACAAAACTATAGTGAGAACAGAAACGCTATAAGGCATATTATAAAAAAAGGCATAGGGAATGGAAATAAAAAATCTTTGTAAATGCTCATTAATAAAGCTTAAACATTTTAAAAAAAAGGCATAGGGGGAAAAACAGACGAAAGAAGAGTAGGGAGAGAGGGAGATGGTGAGGGTCATTCTCCAAGCTATGTCATATACTGATGACTTGCTTAACTCCTCATCTCATTCTCAACCCTTCTATGACTTCTGCTTGATATATACCTCCCCTTTACAGCCCAGACCCAATTTTCAGACTCTTTTTTTCCTTCTCCCCTTATTTTAAATACCTCCCCTTTCCTGTCCAGCCCTAATTTTGAGACCTTGATTGAAAGGTTCCCCTCTGCCCTGGGGTTCGCTGACAGCTTTTGGACCTGGTCTCTGCTGCTCCCAAGCGGTCTTTTGGGGTACTGCCTGTCAGAATGAGATTTGGGAGAGTCCTCAAACGGGGAGGATCTGATTCGGGAGACAGAGTGCACACCGAAAAGGGGAGCACTAAGACCCAGAGGTAGTGGAGGACTGCAGCATTAAACAGAAGGAGGAAAAAGCAGGAGGTGGGGGTGGAAGCCATCTGGTACCTTGGTAGCATAAGCAACGGCATCAGTGATAACGACAGCAATGGCCAGTCAGTCTCAAGGCATCCAGCAACTCCTGCAAGCCGAAAAACGAGCTGCTGAGAAGGTAGCTGATGCCCGAAAGCGTAAGTCTTCTCTTCCTTTCAGAAATAATATAGGAGTGGGGGCAAGCATGTGAGTCCTTAGGAAAACCAAAGGCTCGTGGGGATTGGGAGCTAATGAGAGAAGAAATAGATGGATATAAGAAGCTAGCATGGTTGAATGAGAGTTTTCTGCAAAGATTGACCCCCATGATCACCTTTACTCCGGGGGAGGGGAGGATCCATCTCTGCCCTTTGCTCCCTTTTTCCTTTCACTTCTAGGGAAGGCTCGGCGTCTGAAGCAGGCAAAGGAGGAAGCCCAGATGGAGGTGGAGCAGTACCGCAGGGAGCGAGAGCAGGAATTCCAGAGCAAGCAACAGGCAGTAAGTCCGGGTGCAGTAAGGGTGGGGAGCCTAATGATGCAATTCAGAGGTGCATCTGGTAAAGTTTGTATGGAATAACCCAGCTAGAAAATGTGGTGTCAGAGGGCTGAAGGGACAGTGTCTGGGACCACAAATTGTCAAGCTTTGTGATATGTAAATGAATCTGGGAGTTTTGAATTGCATTGGGAAAGTCTGCTGTCAGGGACCTCTCTAGAGTGCTGAAAAACAACATTTGGAGACTAAGGTGCACCTGATCCAGGGCGTGGTCTTTGCAATTACTTGCTAATATCTGAGAACTGGATGATGACTAAGGATGACAGAAGAAGAATCAAAGCCTTAGAGTTATGGTGCTTGAGAAGAGTTTGGAACATATCATGGATTACCCAAACAAAACAGGTCTGTCTTGGAGAGGGTGAAACCAGATTGCTCCTTGGAGGCTAGGATTTGAAGCTTGTATCACATACTTTAGGCATGTTGCCAGGAGGGACCAGTCCTTGGAGAAGGACATCATGCTTGGAAGGCTGGAGAGTCAGCACAAGAGATGAGGACCCCAGATGAGGTGGACTGATACAGTAACTAACTGAGGCAGTCAGATTAGATGTGTTGGAAACGGTGAGATTGGTTCAGGATAGGGCAGGGTCCAGAGTTGCTGTGTATAGTGTTGCTATGAATTACAGCCTACTCGAAGGCACATAATAACAACAATGGTAAGGGGTTGTTCTGGCAACCCAACCGTTTGAATCCACCAGCTGCTCCATGGGAGAAAGATGGGCAGCACATAACAACAACAATGGTAAGGGGTTGTTCTGGCAACCCAACCGTTTGAATCCACCAGCTGCTCCATGGGAGAAAGATGGGCAGTCTCCTCCTGTAGGATTAACTGCCTCCAAAAACCCACTGGAGGGTCAGCAATGGGTCAAGTCCAACTCCCAGGTACACAACAACAACACAGTTTGGGAGATAGAGTAGGGGGTATACCACAGTTTCTGTGGAAAAGAATAACGCTTGACATGAGGGGAGAGAAGCTTATAGTCATGGGTGGTGAGGTGATGAAAGTTTTACAGTCTTTAAAGACAGAACACATCAGGACTTGGAGGAAAGGTTGTGCTGTTTTTTGGGGTCTGTACATTTCTGTGGAATGGAGTGGTTTCAGAGAAGCTTTCTTTCCGACTGTGCTTCAGGATCCTTCCTGCTACATGCTTGGACCTTTTTTTCTGTTTCTGCTTTTTCTTTTCTCTTTCCTCCCTCTCCCTGTCCTCCAGGCCATGGGCTCCCAAGGGAATCTGTCGGCTGAGGTGGAGCAGGCGACAAGGCGCCAAGTGCAGGGCATGCAGAGCTCCCAGCAGAGAAACCGGGAGCGCGTCCTGGCTCAGCTTCTTGGCATGGTCTGTGAAGTCAGGCCCCAGGTGCACCCCAACTACCGGATCACTGCCTAGGACACCCTCCAGGGCCTGACTCCTCCTCTGAATCCCCTCCCTCAAAAAAGTCACCCAAAGCAAAATCACCCCCCTTCACAGTCCTTTTCATTTCCTGGAAATCCTAGGTGAAACAAACATCCTACTCAGACCTGAATTCCCTTGTTCTTTAACCCACCCTGATATAGCAGTTAAAACACTTGGTTGCTAACCTCAAGGTTGGGAGTGAAAACCCACTAACTACTCCTTGGGAAAGAGATGAAGGAGTCCTGCTGGGGACAGTTCTGCTCTGTCCTATAGGGCCAATATGAGTGGAGTCCTTTCTAAGGCAGTGGGCTTGTTTGTTTTGGGATCTTATCACCTTCACCCAACATAAATATGTCACAGGGAAATGCAGGGATTTGGGAAACACCCTGACTTCAGAGCCTGGCAAGCCTGTAGCTTCAATGTCTCTTTTGTGAAACTGGAATCATAGTAATACCTGCCTTTTTGCTGTAATTAGAACTCATTATGTAAAGAGCCTGTCTTGGTTCCCCAGTATGTACTAGCTATAAATGACAATCCTGTCATGTTATTACTACTCCCTGCTCACCTCCCAAACCTAAATACAGCTGTTTCCTTGCCTCTATTAGAGTGATTCCAATAATCATCTGTGACCCCAGTAACATTCTCTGAAGAATTGTCTCTGCTTCCCTTCCTCAGACATGTTATGATCCCTAACAGGATGAAATAGTGACCTCAGTCAGCTCCTCTAGTGCAGTTCTAGGCAAATACCTCCTCTTTTAGCTTCTCTTTCTCTTTATTGGATTTCCCCTTTTTTCCTATATTCCCAAAGACTCAGCAGATGCTGCTTCCTGAGATCTAAGGTGACACTGTGTTCCTGCTATGCACGGCTTTCCTTTCTATATCCTCAACACCTTACTTTCCCTTTGGATTCCATCTATTTTGTGACAACGAAAATGTCTCAATAAAATAATTTATGGGCAGAGCAACTGGAGAGTCAAAGCAGCCTCTTTTGCCTCATGCTTTTGATCAGTCACTGTTGTTCCTTGTGGCCATATTACCTAAACACCTAAGGGGCAACTCTTTGAAACTTGGTGGAGAAACAAAAGCAATAGTGTTTTACTATTTCTCTAAGGTGAGAGACATCATTCCTCATTTGAACACTTGAGGACTATAGGTGACAACTGAAGAGAAAAATCTATAGTATAAGAACAAGCACTCTGCCTCTCTTGCTTTATTTTTCTTCATAGCACTTGCTGCTAGATGACATTAAGCCTTTATCTGTTACCTTCCCATCTACTTAAACTTAGAAAGATCTGGTGGCCTAGTGGGTACAGAGTTATGCTGTCAACAAAATGATAGGCCGTTCGAATCCACCACCTGTTCAGAGGGCATTTACAACCTCCTAAAACCTTCAGGAGGGTCTGACTCGATGATAGTGAGCTATCGCACTGCTGTGTCGCCAGGTTCCAACACAATACAGGAAGAGTAGTTGATAAATGTTATTGAATAAGTTAGATTTAAGATCAGGAAAATGGCCCTTCTGTGACACTATAGTTCAATCAGTATTATTTTCCTTGACCACACAAGCCTGCTTCCTTCACTCGAATATAATTTCCTTCTGTTCAAGTGGGAAATTAAGATACAATAGAGATTAAAAGATCAGGTCTTGCATTGTCCCCATTTTACTATTAATTCCCACTAAGTGGGAATAACAATGGTACCTACACATCGCAATATTAAAAGGTCACATGTGGTAAAAGGTAAAAGAGTTTCCTTAGTTCAAAGCTTGGCCTGTTAATTTTGGTAAGCAGGTAGACATCGCCTTTTTATCAATTCAACGAGGGGTTTTAAACGTCATGCTTGGAAAGGTGGACAATACCATCATTGTATATGGAATTTCGTACAACTTTCAAGCCGCAGCATTTCTCTTTAATGCTTGGGACAGAATTCAGACCCACTCAATTTCTCACTCAGCTGATTCTGGACACGTTCCCAGCTTGAAGCCCCTGCTCACCAGCTGCAGGGCCGTTGGTACCTCAGCCACATCGGTTAACAGGGTTTTGGGCAAAAGCATCCACCTGGCCCCTAGCGAAACGGGTAGGATCAAGCTTGGCTCCAGTGTCCTCAGCCCCCTGTCGGTGCGTTAGGAGCGTCAGGACGCTCACAGGTCACCTTGACGACAGGGCCAAGGACCCCGTGGGAACTCGCGGCCCCCCGCCGCCATTGTCCATTAGGGAGCGAGCGAATCTTCTTCACCAAGAGGCGCAGGGCGAGGAAAGGAAGAGAACATGGAAGGCTACATAGCGACGTAAAGGAATGCTAATCTCCATGGCGCTTTTTGTTACTGGCAGTAACGGAGGCATTAGAAGTGGCCTTAACCAAAAAAAAGAAACTCCTAAGCGCGCGAAAATGTAGAAATGGTCAACGTGTCTTCTTCCGGTCCCTTGCGCCTGCGTGCTGGCCTCCGAGGTGGTGGGCGGCCGAGGCAGAAGGCAGGCACGGACCGGAAGTGAAGGCAGGTTCCCTTCTTCGTCGCTGTTGCCGCCGCCATACACGCCCGCCCTACCCAGGTAAGCTTTGGCCTTCTTTGCCATCCCCTGCCATCCGCCCTTCATCACGGCCATCCGGCTGCATGGACTCCGAATACCCTTTCCACAGAGGATAGTCTGGCTTGTGGGGTCTAGGTGGGTCGTTATTTTTTTGTCCTGCATCTTTTTGCATCTTGGGAAAAGGCTGGGAAAACTGCGGGGAGGAGGGGCCCAATCCAACATGGTGGCCGCGGCGCCATTGTGTCCCCGTGACTCTCGGCTTCTCCGGTGGGTTCTTCGGTAACTGGAGGCCCCCGCGACGGTGAGAAGTGCCGGTCGGCGTCCTTGGTCCCCGGCATTGGTGGAGGGCGGGGCCGGAGTCCACCCCGGAGTCCACCCCTTCGCCCCTCCCCCTCGGGGGGACCGGGCAGGAGCCACTTTCTGGGCCCGGGGGCGAAGGCTTACCTGGATTTGCCCACCTTTATTTGATCCCTTTCCCAAATGTCTACGAAGCGGTGTCCCTGTGTGTGTGACAGAAAGAATGAATAGTATCAAGATCCTAGGATACCATTTGATACAAGTCGTGGTAAATTGTAACGAGAATAACCACTTCTCTTCCTGAGTTACTTAGTTTCCTTCTGTGCGGAGAGAAGTGGATCCTTGCGACCACATGGTTTCTCCCACCGTTCAGTACGGGGAGTTCTTAACGCGGCGGGAGGGAGGGGATGGAGTCGGGGTGGGGGCTGGAGAGCTGCGCGAGGTGGATGGCAGCCACATGATGTTTGCATTTTGAAAAAAGAGCGTTCTGCGCTGTGATGACCATTATCTATCACCCTTGACTGATGGCTGCCGGGTTTAGGGGTCGACACTTTTGAGTTGGTAGATCGAGACAGCGCGAGATTCTCCCTTGAGAATTTTCCAGCACTTAAGTTTTATTCTGTCGCTTCCTCCGTTGCTGGTGTGTCTGTTCCCCCCCCCCCCCCATTTTTTCTGTCTCTTCATATAAACTGGTTGTTGCACCCTGTTAAGCTCTTGTCTGCTAACAAATGGAGGGTTCAGATCCTCCCAGAAGTGCCTTTGCAGATAAGCCTATTGACATACTTCTGAAAAGTCACAACCTTGAAAACCTTTTGGGGTAGTTCTACTTTGAGCATGTGGGATCGCCACGAGGCAGATTCCGTGCAGCCTTGTGGGTAGAGTTGTGCAGCAAACCCAAAGATGGCTGATTTGAGTCCACTAGGGGTTTCAAGGTAGAAAGATGGGCAATTTCATGCTGTGCGTTTTGCAACCTTTGAATCCTTTCATACACCCCCCCCCCCCCCCCCCCCCCCCCGCGGTCAGCTGTGAGTAGCTGGCAATGAGTGATGGAATGAGTAATGTTATTAAATGGGGGGAAAAAAACAAACCCAAAAACCCTCACTGCCAGGTTGAGTTGGTTATAGCTCATAGCCACCCTTCAAGACAATGTAGCACTACCACATGGGGTTTGTAAGACTGTAATCTTTAGGGATTACGGTTTTAGAAGGTATGAATCACTGTTCTTTAAGTTAGCAGATGAGTGCTTAACCACTGCATCACCAGGGCTTTTCAAGAATTTTAAAGTTTTTTGTTTTCTGCAACTCTGATCCTAGGCTTTTTGAGAATTTGTCCTACCCTGCTGCCTTTGAAGGACTTTTACTGTTTATATTATTTACCTTTCTCCTCCTCCTCTGCTTATTTTTTTAGGGAGATCATGTGTAGTTTAGGGAAATAGAACAGAATGTGGGAATGGAGACTTGAGGTGGGGAAAGTTCTATTCATCATTGATAGCTTTTTTCTTTTTTGTTCTTCTCTCCGTAGCAATTCTCACAGGAACTAGTTTCTTCCTTTTCCTCTCTTCTGCCCTCGGTCCCACTCTCCCCCCTTGATTTTACTTATTCTGCATTAGCCCATCCAGAAACCCCCTTCCCTTTCCTCCTGCCAGACCAATTATGGCAGAAAATGATGTGGACAATGAGCTCCTGGACTATGAAGATGATGAAGTGGAGACAGCAGCTGGAGGAGATGGGACTGAGGCTCCTGCTAAGAAGGATGTGAAAGGATCCTATGTCTCCATCCACAGCTCTGGCTTCCGTGACTTCCTGCTTAAGCCAGAGTTGCTTCGTGCGATTGTTGACTGTGGTTTTGAGCATCCATCAGAAGGTGTGTTCCTTTATTACCCCTTTCCCCCTTTGGGTATAGAATCTCATTAGGCTCTTTAGGAGAAGCAGATATGTTTATGGTTCTTTACGTGAAAGATGTTTACGTTTAGCATACTTGGAAGAGGCTTTTATAGGCTGCTCTGCCATTCATGGTAGCACAGAGGTGCTCAGGATGGAAAACTACTGAGGTCTGCCATTCATACTTGTGACTGGCTCTTTCCTTGCCTGCTTTTATTTAATTTTTTTAGTTTTTTTGGTTCCTAACATTAACATTTTAGAGATGAGATAATTGGAGCTATAGTTTCATGTTTTGGGGCAAGAGGGAGTTGTGCTGCTAACCCAAAGGTGGCATC